TTGGCTTGACCAGACCAGTTTGACCATTGGACCAGACCAATTTGACCGGTCTGGTCAAAGGATCTGTACTGGTCAAAATTGATCAAAATAGTATATATGTTTAAATATAATTTATTATATAATATATATATATATTATATTTATATAATTGATTTGACCAATTGACCAGTTCGATCATTTGACCAATTTGACCAGTAAATTTTTGGTCGACCACTAAATTGCCCAACACTGATAACAATATATTTTTAATTTACATAATATTGTATATACTAAATTAATAATGATTGACTTAATTAAAAATTTTATTGTCTGATAAGAAAATTTATCCAGTTTTTGCACAATAATTTTTCTCACCAATAATATCACTAAACCTTGTATAATCATTTTATTGTTTGATTTCCCTTTTTCGATCACGGAGTCGTGGGAAACTAATAACTCGTGATCACCATTTTATATTGAAAATTTTTGGACAATCATCAATGTGACCAAAATCATGACAGCATGCAAACGCCACTAAAACGCGTTTAAGGGATTCTGTATATTAAAGTTATATCAGAGTTTAATATCTGATGTAATAAATATGTCTTGTGTTAGAATAAAAAATTTGCGCAATATTTAATTTATATGTAAGAATCCTGAATCACGCTAACGAATATTTATGTTCTTTAAAAGAAAATCAATTTTAATATATATATTTTTTTAGTTGTATGCTAGGTATGAATATAAATTTACTGGTCGAAATTGGCTAATTATAATCACAGCATGTGATAGAACTATACTGTATAATATGAAAGAATAAATTAGGAAATTTGGATTATATATAGAATATACACGTACGTACGAAGTAAATTTTAATAATACATACGCACATATACGCACAGAGCCAATGAAATTTTCTATTCAGCACTACATTGTAAAAGAATGAACTACAAAAACTAAGTTTGAACTAATTCAAAACTTTAGAATATCCTTAATTTAAACAATAGAAATACTGAATGACTGATGATGAATACAGTATAAACATATAAAATATAAAATATAAATAAGCGAATTACGTGCTTTGCAAAAAAATTCAAATAGTTCTCGCCTTTTTTATTTCCTTAAAATATATTTTTAACAATTAAAAATCATGTTTTCTTCAATTAAACGGATCGTTTGTAACAATTCTCGTCTTTCTATTCATAACATATCATCCAATTTTACTTTTCGTTGTCTTCCTACTCTAGTGATCACAAGAAAGAATTCTTCTATTGGTCATTCTATGACACATCTTGATACTCAATCTAATGTTTTTGATGTTCTGCAAGATTCCACAGAACATGATTCCAGTTTGCCTTCCTTTATGGTTGGTTATAAGAATGGATTTTTACCGAGACAGGTAATATAGAGATAATCATTATTACAGTAAAAATTATTTGACAAATTACTGTCATATTGTTTATATATATATTCATATATATACTTTATATATTATAATATTATATTAATTAGGAACCCTTAGTTCGTTTGCCCGACAAATTTCATGATCTTGAACTTCTTTTACAAAAGATGCCAATTCGTCTACAAAATGGCGAACAAGGTTTACTAGCAAAAGGTGAACTAGGTGAAGCTGTTAAAGATTTGCCATTATATGATGTTAATACTATTACAGATCAAAGACTTTTATCTGGTAATCGTCTTTATCAATATTAAAATAATATTTAATATTATTCGATTTCCTTAATTAATTTCATGTAATATTTATTATAGCATTATTTCGAGATTATACTTTCTTAGCATCTGCCTATTTGCTTGAACCATGCGATATCATGTTCAGAGAGAAAAAAGATTATGGATTAGGTCGACAAATATTACCAAAAAATATCGCCGTACCATTAAATAACGTTGCCAAAAAACTTTATGCTTTTCCGTTCATGGAATATAATCTTTCATACAGGTATCTTAAATGAAAAGAATATACAGTAAATAGTAGAATTATAGAACAATTCTATTCTCTTATTTAGAGGTCACTATTACTTTTCTAAATAAGAGATTAAATTAACTGTGGTGTCATATAATCCTAATATAATTATTTATATATGCGTATTATTTTTCTTAATATGATGCTGGAAATCTTAATTATTTCAATTCAACTAGTAAATCTTGTTCTTTTAATAAATTCTACAAAATTATCAACTATCGCACTGATTCGAAAAGAGCAATAAGGCTTCTTGCATCATATGAATATAAATAAATATAAATAAATAGAAATGTTATGGCTAATATAGATACTGACATATCATTATCTGTTATGTCAATATACATAAAAAGTTATTTTTAACGTAACCTCTTTCTTTTTTTCTGATAAAGTTTATACAATTATCAACGCGTGAATCCTTCTTTGCCCTTAATCTATCCTAATTTGAACCTTATTCGTGCCTTCGCTGGTACACCTTCTGAACGTGGATTTATCCTTGTTCACGTAGCAATGGTTGCTCATAGTGGAAGATTAGTTCAATGGACAATGGAAACACTCAATTCGGTAGAACAACAAGTAAGTTCTTATATCTTTCCTATCCTAGGTATATTTAATACAAATATGTAATTACTTATTTTAACATCATTATTATTTTTTTTAAAAAAAAGAATCGTTTGAATTTCAATAACGCGCTTAGGAATTTAAATGATACAATGTTTTTAATAAATCGAGAAATGGAAACTATGTGGAAAAGATCAAATCCAGATGATTATGTAAAATTCCGTACTTTTATAATGGGTTCCAAGAATCAACCGATGTTCCCAAATGGTAAGAAAAAATAAATCTCTCGAATGTTTCTTGAATAAGTATATTATATAAATTAAGTGTTCGTTTCGAATTTTCTAGGTGTTATTTATGAAGGCGTAAGCGATGCACCTTTATTTTATCGAGGTAATAAAAAAAAAATAATATATAGATTATACAAAACAATCAATATACAAAACAATTAATATATCAATAAATTTTAAATATGTATATTTTTTCATATAAATAGGAGAGTCTGGTGCAAATGACTCTATGATTCCATGCATGGACAACTTATTACAATTAACAACAAAAATGCCAAATAATCCTTTAACTGAAGTTTTAAAAGATTTTCGAAAATATCGTCCTACAAATCATAAAGAATTTTTAGATTATGTTCAACGTCGTGCCAATAAAGTTAATGTTAGAGGATATGCCATTCAGGTATTTTATAATTAATATATTGATTGTTTTGATTGTATTGATACCATTCGTTTTATATTTTTCATTTAGGACGCAAATAGTGCAAGTAAATATTGCAATTTAACCAAATAAAAATTATCATAATTATCATATAAAGCTAAATAAATTAAATTTGTCTTTATAATAGCTCTCTACTTAGAAAATATAGATCAAATTCGTGCATTCCGTAATCGACATTGGAATTTCACCAAAGAATATGTGATTAAAAATACGGTACATCCTGTCGCTACAGGGTAAAATTTCAAATTCTTTTTATTATTACCAATAAAAATAATTTTATCACTTAATTCAATTTCTAATATATATTATTATTATTATTATTACATTTATTAGTGGTTCACCAATAGTAACATGGCTTCCTAATCAATTAAATACTGTCCTTGCAGAAATGATACAAGTTGGCCAAACAATTGATTGTTCTCAACTAACTTCCGAAAATAAGATTAAGTTTGATGAAATTTTGAATAGAGCTTCTACACAAGAACGAATTTTAAAACGTGAAGTTGAATTTTTAAAGGATTTATTTGGAGATAGTCAAAATAATGTTTGAATTATATTATTTGTTAGACATTATATACTGTATGTTAGTATATATAACTATTTATCCGTTACCAGTTATTATTTATATAGATAGTCTTTTTATTTAATACTGTAATAATATTAGATTATACCATTGTACTAAACTCATGAAATTTAAATTCATGTAATCGATCATGAGAGATAAATCCGAGTTCCGTCTCTATTATTTGTTAATTGATATTATTTTATATATATTCGCTCAACTATTCTTAAATCATGATCATCAAATATTTGTTGGATACAAAGTATATCATCTTGTTTAAATTCACTTGATGATGTCAAGATGACATATCGTTCCAATGATTAAAGTACTGATGCAAATTGCCTATGATAGGTAACGGGAATGGACATTTAATATTTCGTGTAATTAATGTCTACAAAGGTAAAATCACACTCAAAAAATTTCTAACCATATGAATAACGGTTATTTATAATTTTCCCGATGCCAACTGGCCATTTGCATTTGCACAAGTGATGAGCATATTTATTCCCGCAGCGGCGAGAATAAGAGGTGGATCTGTTCTGATAAACCGGAGTTTGTCTGTATCTGTCTAACTCCGAAAGATATTCAGATAAACCGGAAGATATGGAATAATTATCATTAGGCATGTATCCCTTCCCTTAAACCGTAAGCTGATCCAGGAAAATTTACCTGCAAAAATTTATCCAATAATCACACACATTAACCCCGTTAAAATCATGTGTTTAAATTATTATCTATGGATGTGTCATTTAGAATTTGTCGAATATTGGAATTTTAAACAGTAAATTTCAATCCGACTAGTATAAATGGCACACCCAGTAGTATCTCGTAATTTAACTGAGCGATATATGCACATGATTTTTGAAGGGGTTATTTTACCAAACTAAAGGCAAGGTGTTATTAAAAATAATTAAAAGTATCAGTTAAAAGATCTATGCGAATAGAATGACCGGTAATAATATTATACGAAGTCACACATTATGATTTTCGTAAGTTGTCCTAGCAAAAACAAAGTTTGACGGTTTAAGGGATAATAATGGGTTTTACTTGTGTTATGACATAAAAATCAAAAAGGCCGAATTAAACTCAATTAGCCAATGGTGACTCGTAAATAACAATCATAAATTAAGTGGTGATGTCATGACGGCCTGACATTTTCAACATCACGTCTAATATTCTATCTATTCTAGCTTTTCTAATTCCTCGATTCTATTCCTGAGCTCGGCCCGTAGCTTTGTAATCTCATCCTTGGCCTTAAACTCGCCATAAGTCTGGCGTTTTTTTGCCTAAGTAAGTCAATTTCGGATATCATTTTCGAAAATAATTTTATACACTGTATATTTGCATTCAAAATAAAATTCACGTGATTCCACTTTGTGAACTTAGTTCACGAAGTTTTGCTAAGAAAAAAAAATTATTAATATACATGCAAAAATAGGGCTTGAACGAACGTTTCTGGGTGGGTGTGAAATAACCAGATACATTGCTTGCATAAGCAAGTTCTTATTTACAATTATAATATTTCTTAAGGTCAAAAGTAACCTTATGAGAGGTTTTGTACGCGACATGACTTCTGAGGTCAAGGGATTTCAGCATGAAGTATCTTGGAATCCATTTGTATCATTTACAAGAACATTTAAATATATCTTTTCCCCAGATATTTGAATTCCGACCACGCCAAACTGATTAGAAATGGGTTTACATGCTGAATCTATATAACTAATTCCATCTAATAATTCTCTCCATAATTTACTTCATCCGATTTTTTAGTGTCATTGAAAACAATACGGGAACTCTCCAAATATAAATATTCCAAAAATTTCCAGTTGCACCTTTCTAAGGCCATAATATTGGGCTTTTTTCCTATTTTATCTCTGTTTTATCGTTTCTTTCGTTTCTTCACACTTTACTCACAAAGCTCTGCCGTTCAGCTGAACTTAAGCAGATAAATCTATTTGGTAAGTCCCCCAAAATCACTCGAAGTAATGGATCGGACGTAAATTTTTAATTAGTCGGAAATTAAATAATCAATCAAGTGAGTTACCAATTCGATCAACAAATCAACGAGATACAACTCACCTTTTTTCTCCAAAAATTTACCATTGATAAAGATCGCTCAAGCACTACTTTTACATTTTAACATATCAAACATA